CAAATATAGCAAATGAATTCAATGATTTCGATTAAATTAAGAAGCAATAGGTATTGCTAATGAAAATATAACTTTCACAATTCAGAAGAAAAAAATATTTATATGACTCAAAGTATTTAAATGTGTCCTATCTGTCACCAAACAAGTAATCAAATGACACAAACAACATTTAATGAAATGCAAATAAATTGTAAATAAAGATGTATCAAAATCGATAAATTAAAAATAAAATTTGGATGAATAATTCATTCGGAAAAGATGGTAACAATTGTTTGAGATAGTTATAAAATTTTTAATGCTATCTGATTCATACAGTATTTTCAATTATTACACTTGCAAAACTCTTCTTACAATCTTACATATATTTTAAGGTTGAAAATTTGCAAAATTCAAAAGTGATAATCCGGAAGTAACTTATAAAGGTTTGGATTTAAAAAAAAAGACGACAACATTAGAAAAAAACTAATATTAAAATCTTAAAATAGAAAGCAAAAAACAAATATGAGGTAAATTGTAGGATAATCTTTATTATCATTGCTGATTAGATACTGATTGACGACAACAGCGACGACAACAGCTTGAATTTTTTTGCATTTTAAAAAGTTAAAGAATCTGAGCTTAAAAAAAAAAGCATTTATTATTTTTAGAATCAATTTTAAGAAATTTTTATTTGTGATTAATGAAATTTAAGTATATCGTGATTGTTATCATCATCATCATCATCAGCAACTACTATCATTACTATCCATAGTCGCTTTCAACAGCTTTTTTTTTCATAATATCGTGATTATCAATCACTATCATCATTAGATACCAGCAATATTATTATCGTTATCGTCGATAGTGATTAGTATAATCATTGTCATAATCATTATCACTAGCATCATCGCTATGTTATCATGATCTTTATCACTACTAGCACCATTGGCCATTAGCACCATCATCATTATTATTATCATTATCACTGGCATCGTCACAATCATATCAATCTTTACCATTACTGTCGTTAACATCATCGGTCACTAACATCATCATTGCCAGGCCTATCACTAACACAATCTGTCATTAGCATTATCATCATTATCGTTGCCATCATCAGTCATTAGCATCATCATTATCACTAACACAATCTGTGATTATCATCATTATTATCACTGCCATCATCTGTCATTAGCATCATCATCATCATTATCATCAAATACGCCCTCGTTGATTCTTTACAATGACTGTACTAATGCTAGCATTATTTGAATTACTATTTTGAATTTTTCTATCATTTATCATTACTTTTTTATATTTAAATTGCTTGAACACATGGCGCCAATAATTATCAGTTAAAAAAATCTAATTTGAAAATTTCAGGAAATTTCGTCAAATTTTATCACTCAATTGCAGCTACTACTATTGATGTAATGTTTATTGAAATAAATCATTTCATTCACACACTGTAATAATAACTAAATTTTTTTTTCTTTTTTTTTTTTGCTATTCCTACAATTTACAATTTCATTTGAATTTTCACCAAGAAAACACACCAAAAAAAAAAAAAAAAAAAATTGATTCTAATTTTTGTGATAAATAATTTTTGCATCTCTGTGTGATTTGTATTTGACACTGAAATTTTCAACATTTCATCAGAATATGTGAAAGAAAGAAATTCGATTTGAAGACAAATATAAAAAACGTTTATTCGACGAACGTAATTATTTCTACTTCTCTTGATCGAATCAAAGTGAGCTTTAATGTCCTAATTTTCTCTCTCTTTTTTTTTTTTTTTTTTTTTGAATTTTTAAATTTTCCACACAGTGATATTATCAACAGAAAAGGTGCAAAATTGTGATATTTTAAAAGAAAAGAAGGAATGTTTTATTAGTTTCTTTCTATGCATATACTTATTAAATTTGAAATTAAATAAAATTCAAATTTTCAAAATTTCTCTCATTTAATCTATGATAAGCAAATATTCTTTAATTGTTTTATATGCAAAATAATTTGCATTTATTTTAATAAAAATTAAAGTAATATCATTTTTTGTCATCTTGTAAAATATGATAATGTTTAATGAGAAATAAAATTAGTTACAAATTTAAATTTAGCTAATATTTTAATTTTTAATCATTTCATTTTTTCTTCTTCTATTTCCTTTTTTATATTTATTTGCCATAAATTCATTTTTAATTTGTTATGATGAATTTTAAAAATTTAATCTAAACTGAACAGTTTATGCTTACTTCAAAGTTTGTAAATATTTAATAATGTAACTTTGCAATTGAAGTATTTGAAGAGGATATTGTTATTTGAAAAATCATACATCCATTTCAATATCACATCTAAAATTGTCAAATAAAAATTGTTCGAGAGTATAAAATTGAGTTACAAATCATTCAGCATCACAATCAATTATTAAATATTTCAATTTTTAAATTGAGTCTATTAAAATTTCCATTCTTTTTTTTTTTATTTCCAGTGTTCTAGTAGAATTTTTTTTTATTAAAAATTAAAATTTTGAATTGGTTTTCGAATTTCAACTAAATTTCACTTTTAAACTGAATTACTGATGAAATCGAAATTCCGGTTTTTTTTTTTTTTTTTTTTTTTTTGACAGGATTATTATTTGATTTATTTTATTTTTTTTTTTTCTATCTTTGTATCAAAAATTGTAAGTTTACTAAGTTTCAACATTATGTGATGATAATTTTCATGAATGAAGGAAGAAAAGAAATTTTTGACTAAAAATGTTATCATCTATTGTTAAAAATGAATTGTAAAATTTAGTAGTGAAAATTTCAACTTAAAATTTCATTGTCATTTGTTACTAAATCAATTGTATTTCATTTGGATATGTTTGAAGGTCATATGAAAAGACTTATTTCGGCTTTACCAATAACAAAACCGGTATTTTGGTAACTGGGAATAGTGTGCTATGTGATACTGAACACATTGCTATTTGAAGAAAAAAAATTTTTACAAAACTCTTTTCAATCATTTGAAATTTTAGTTAAAATTTTAATTTTCTGACTTAATATTCATTATTTTTATTATTATTTTTGTTGTTATTTGTTTACTAAAAAAAAAAAAAATGTTAAAACGAAATGATTGTTTGTTTTTTGTATTTAACTTTTCGAATTATTTATTTTATTATTAAGCATTCCAGGAACGAAATATATTGATTTCATATTAAAATGAACTTTCTTAAAACGAAAATATGGGCAATTATCAAAATAAATTGATTTTGTTTTGTTGTTGAAAAATAATCAACAATGCTAACTTTTAACATTGAAATTACTAAGTAAACATTGTAAAAGTATTTTTTTTTTTTTTATATATAATTTTAAATCATATTTTTTTGCTACAAAAAAAAGAGTTAAAATTTTGTCAGAAAAAAAAAAAAATTGTTCTTTGTGAATGATTTGTTGAAATTTCCTCAATTAAATTATTCATGCATTCATATATCTTTATTGCGATGTTTTTTTTTTTTTTTAATTTATCATAAATGATATCATAAAATTTGTTAATTCTTATAAAAGTAAAAAATTTATAAAATTTTTTTATCGATGAAATTAAAAATACATTTTTTTCTTTTTAATTTCTGATATTTTTTCTTTAATAATTGATACTATCGTTGTTATTCTTTTTGTTTTTGTTTTTTTAAATGATACTATATTATTTCATTTTTTATCATTTGTTATTGTTAACAGAATTATTACTGTTATTGTTGCTGCTGTTATTTTTATTGGCGTTGTTATTGTTGTTGTCGTTGCTGTTGTTGTTATTGTTATTGTCGTTGCTGTTGTTGTCGTGTTTTTGTTGTTGTTTTTATTGCCGTTGTTGTTGTTGTTGCTGTTGTATTGTTATTACAATTATTACTTGCGCAAATATTCTTTCAATAATCAAAGATAATTATCGTAATTTGTTATTGCTACTGTTGTTACTACTATTATAACCCATGTCTATCTTATTTTACAAAATTTTAAATGATTTTAATCAATTTCAAAAAAAAAAAAAAAACGTACAGTACATCATTATCATTATCATCATCAGTTAGTCAGTGATATTTTAAGGTATTCCTGTCAACAGTTACTGTAAAATGATGCTTTCAAGTATGTGTGTATGTGTATGTGTCTGTGTATACATGTGTGTATGTGTATGTGTATGTGTGTGTATGTATGTATGTGAAGGACTGTGTGAACCGGTTCTTGAATTTTGATTCTTGACGATTTTATCGACAGATGTGTTACGGAGGAGCAAATGGATGACAGAGAAATGTGCGCAAATGTCAATGATTTTAAGATTTTTTTTTTCCTCCTTCTTTTGTACAAAAAACTGTTGGAAGTAATGGTATATTTATCATTGTTTATTGATTATTGTTATTATCATTGTTTATTGATTATTGTTATTATCATTGTTTATTGATTGTTGTTATTATCATTGTTTATTGATTATTGTTATTATCATTGTTTATTGATTATTGTTATTATCATTGTTTATTGATTATTGTTATTATCATTCCTTATTGATTTTTTTTTTTATTATCATTGCTCATTGATTTACTGTTGTTATCATTGCTATTATTAATTGTAATTAATGTTAGATTAAACTAAGAAAGTAAAAAAAAATCAAAAATTAGTTTAGAGAGGGAAAAAAAATGCACAAAGTTTTTTTTTAATTATTAATTCATAAGAAGCATAAGGTTTTTTTTTTTTCTATTTGCTGGTTGTATGCGTATTTTTAATCAAATTTGTTTTTTTATTTATCGTTTGGTTTAGTTTAATTTGTCATTTCATTTTTTTTTAAAAAAAAAAAAATTCATTTCAAATCTATCGCAATATTTTAATTTATATACAAGAAAAAAAAATGATGAGAAGCTTTCAATTTAAAAAAAAAAAAACTCAATTATTATTATAATTTTTTTTTAAATTACATCAAAACGATATAAATTTTAATTTTTTCTCTTCAAATTTTGAAAGTATAAAAATTTTATTTTTTTGCAGTGAATTTAGATGGGAAGTACAGCAGTGCAAAAAGGATTACTAGCAATAAGCATTTTGCTAATTTTCATTGGTCTTGGATTTACATTTGCTGGTGTATTCTCACCAGCATGGCAGGTGGTTGACATTCGTGAATTTCGAGCTGAGCATCAAGTAAATACCTTCATTCCTTTCTTTTTCTACGCTTAATTAGAGTATTAATTAATAATCATCGATAAAGTGTTAATATAAAGTAATGAGTAGTAAGTATTACTATGAAACTATTAGTCATTGATAAGGTATTAATGTGGAAGTAGTAATCAGTGATAAGACATTAATGATAGTGGTATTAAGTATTAGTCATTGATAAAGTATTAATATGAAAGTAATAATCACTTATAAAATATTAATATTAATGGCATTAAGTATTAATCATTGGTAAAGTATTAATGTGAAAGTAATAAGTAGTAAGTATTAGTATGAAATTATTAATCATTGATAAAGTATTAATGTGAAAGTAACAACCACTGATAAAGTATTAATATTAGTGGTATTAAATATTAATCATTGATAAAGTATTAGGATTGACAGTATTAATTATTTGTTTGAAGGTAATAATCAGTGATAAAATATTAATATAAAAGAAGTAATCATTGATAAAATATTAACAATATTAAGTATTAAAGTGTTAATCATTGGTAAAGTATTAATACTGATAATATTAAGTATATATATAAGGAAAGTATTAATCATTATTGATATATTATCGATTACACTGATTGATAATTCATTACTGGTTACTGATAAAAGACATTTAATAGATTCATTATTAAAATTCTACCAAATTTTGCTTATCATTTGAAAATTAATTAATTGTTTAATTTTAAATTTAGTTTTAATTTTAATTTATTGTTACATTTTGAAAGTTAATTAATTGTTTAATTTTAAATTTAGTTTTAATTTTAATTTATTGTTACATTTTGAAAGTTAATTAATTGTTTAATTTTAACTTTAGTTTTAATTTTTACATTTTGAATTTTTTTTTACATTTTTATTGTTACATTTTGAATGAAATAATTTCTAAATGACTAAAAAATATAACAATAATGTAATCATATTGCTAATATTTTCAGTTGAAAAAGTTATTTTTGAAATATTTCAAAATAAAAAATTAGCTGAATCATTTCAAATGAATATTTTCACTTTAGAATTAATTTTTTTATTTAGAAAATTTTGCAAAAGTTTTTGAAAAAAAAAAAAGAATTATTTTTATTTGTATTCCATTTCTTTTCTTATTTTTGTATGATAAAAAAAAACGATGAAATCATTTATATTTATTGATATTACTAAATTTTAAATTCCAATAATCATTTATTCATAACAATGAATTAATTTAAATCATTTTAAAATTTATTGTAATAATAAAATTATGCAGAAAAAATTTCCATCTACTAAATAAAATAATGCAATATTAGCCATTAACCTTTAAAATAAGTAATAAAAATTTTAAAAGATTTAAAAATTATTGAAAGTAATAATTAATAATAAATTTTCAATCAATTTTTTCAAAAAAAAAAAATTAGATATTACAATTTATTCACAAATATTTTAGAGAGTTGAAAAAAATAAAGTCTTATTAATTTTTTATTATTTATCTAAACTCAATGAATTAATGAATACTTTTATCATTTTATTTTTTAATATTTATAAATTATCTTTGTTTCTTAGGTCAAAGTTAAATTATATATTTAATATATAATTATGCATATCTGAAAGTTAAAATTGTAATTAATTAAGTTGAAAGTATTAATTAGAGGATTAAATAAGCTAAGAGAAACAAATATTCAACTATCAATTCTCTACTCTTTATTTAAACTCATTGAGTACTTTAATCATTTTAATGTTAACTTTAGAATGAATGAATTTTTATTCAGAAAAATTTTACAAAACTTTTTAAAAAAAAGTAAGTTAAAATTAAAACTAATTAAATTAAATTGAAAATATTAATTAGATGAACTAGTTAAACTGTAAGAAACAATTAATCAACTATCATATCTCTAAACTCAATGAATTGTTTTGTACTTTAATTTTAACCTGTATAAATTAAAATTAATTAAAACTAATTAAATTAAATTGAAAATATTAATTAGATGAACTAGTTAAACTGTAACAAACAATTACTCAACTATCATATCTCTAAACTCAATGAATTGTTTTGTACTTTAATTTTAACCTGTATAAATTAAAAATAAAACTAATTAAATTGAAAATATCAATTAGGTGAATTAATTAAGCTGCATTTCAATTAACTCAACGAAACAATTACTCATCTATCATATCTCTAAACTCAACGAATACTTTTGTACGTTAATTTTAACCTCTATAAATTAAAATTAAAACTAATTAAATTAAAAATATAATTAAATCGTAAGAAATAATTACTCAACTATCATATCTCTAAACTCAACGAATACTTTTGTACTTCAACTTTAACCTTTAAAAGTAATTAAATAATTAATTAAAGCATGGCTTATGGTGGGATTGTACTCGAGCCGAGAAGCATGTCGTTGCGGTGGCTGATTTCTATGCAGAAGAACCACTACATTGTATGTATAAATTTGATCGTAGTGCTGAAATGGTAATTGAAAATACATTAAATAATATTGATGAAGATGGAGCTGCTGGTGAATCTGAACATCATCGATTCTGGGGTTTAAATTTTAATTTTTAAATTATTTAAAACTTTTTTTTTCTTTTAAGTATTCCTTTTAAATAATATCTATTGTAATAATTTATTAAAAAGTTTTCTTTTCTTTTTCTTTTTAAATAATATATATATTGTAATAGTTTATTAAATTTTTTTTTATTAAATTTTAAGTTTTAATTATATTATTATACCTGTAAATAATATATCTAATTTACTGTATATTATAAATTGAAATAATTTATTTCATTTCGAGTTTTAATTAATATTACCAGTGCATATTGTATATTATTTATTGTATATTAAAAACTCATTTAAACTTTTAATTATTAAAATTTTTAAATCGCAAATAATACTATAAAACATTTAACATATGTACATTGTAAATTGATCTAATATTTATTTTCTTCATTATCAATAATCGTTATCAGAACTAATAATCGTATGAAATAATCATTATAATTTTCTTAGGATAACTATGAATGATTTCATTTCAAAATAATCAATATATCATATATGTAATTAATATATCAGAAATTCATCAAATGATATAATAATATATAGATCATATGTATTAATAATTTGATCATTAATTAATATATATTAATTAATTAATATATATTTTTTTTAATTAATTAATATATATTATTCTTCATTTATTATTCTTTTATTAATTAATATATATCATTCTTCCATTATCATTTAGTTAATTAATATAATCATTCTTCTAATATATATTTATTTAATATAAAATAACATTAATAAATATTAATGATGTTTTAAAATTAGCAAAATTATCAATATTATTCAATCAAATTATCAATGTTATTTAATCAAATTATCAATGTTATTTAATCAAATTATCAATGTTATTTAATCAAATTATCAATATTATTTAATCAAATTATCAATGTTATTTAATCAAATTATCAATGTTATTTAATCAAATTATCAATATTATTCAATCAAATTATCAATGTTATTTAATCAAATTATCAATATTATTTAATCAAATTATCAATATTATTCAGTCAAATTATCAATGTTATTTAATCAAATTATCAATATTATTCAGTCAAATTATCATTGTTATTTAATCAAATTATCAATATTATTCAGTCAAATTATCAATATTATTCAGTCAAATTATCATTGTTATTTAATCAAATTATCAATACTACTTAATCAAATTATCAATATTATTCAGTCAAATTATCATTGTTATTTAATCAAATTATCAATACTACTTAATCAAATTATCAATATTATTCAATCAAATTATCAATGTTATTTAATCAAATTATCAATACTACTTAATCAAATTATCAATATTATTCAATCAAATTATCAATGTTATTTAATCAAATTATCAATACTACTTAATCAAATTATCAATATTATTCAATCAAATTATCAATGTTATTTAATCAAATTATCAATACTACTTAATCAAATTATCAATATTATTCAATCAAATTATCATTGTTATTTAATCAAATTATCAATACTACTTAATCAAATTATCAATATTATTCAATCAAATTATCATTGTTATTTAATCAAATTATCAATACTACTTAATCAAATTATCAATATTATTCAATCAAATTATCATTGTTATTTAATCAAATTATCAATACTACTTAATCAAATTATCAATATTATTCAATCAAATTATCATTGTTATTTAATCAAATTATCAATACTACTTAATCAAATTATCAATATTATTCAATCAAATTATCATTGTTATTTAATCAAATTATCAATACTACTTAATCAAATTATCAATATTATTCAATCAAATTATCATTGTTATTTAATCAAATTATCAATACTACTTAATCAAATTATCAATATTATTCAATCAAATTATCATTGTTATTTAATCAAATTATCAATACTACTTAATCAAATTATCAATATTATTCAATCAAATTACCAATGTTATTTAATCAGATTATCAATACTACTTAATCAAATTATCAATATTATTCAATCAAATTATCATTGTTATTTAATCAAATTATCAATACTACTTAATCAAATTATCAATATTATTCAATCAAATTATCATTGTTATTTAATCAAATTATCAATACTACTTAATCAAATTATCAATATTATTCAATCAAATTATCATTGTTATTTAATCAAATTATCAATACTACTTAATCAAATTATCAATATTATTCAATCAAATTATCATTGTTATTTAATCAGATTATCAATACTACTTAATCAAATTATCAATATTATTCAATCAAATTATCATTGTTATTTAATCAAATTATCAATACTACTTAATCAAATTATCAATATTATTCAATCAAATTATCATTGTTATTTAATCAGATTATCAATACTACTTAATCAAATTATCAATATTATTCAATCAAATTATCATTGTTATTTAATCAAATTATCAATACTACTTAATCAAATTATCAATATTATTCAATCAAATTATCATTGTTATTTAATCAAATTATCAATACTACTTAATCAAATTATCAATATTATTCAATCAAATTATCATTGTTATTTAATCAAATTATCAATACTACTTAATCAAATTATCAATATTATTCAATCAAATTACCAATGTTATTTAATCAGATTATCAATACTACTTAATCAAATTATCAATATTATTCAGTCAAATTATCATTGTTATTTAATCAAATTATCAATACTACTTAATCAAATTATCAATATTATTCAATCAAATTATCATTGTTATTTAATCAAATTATCAATACTACTTAATCAAATTATCAATATTATTCAATCAAATTATCATTGTTATTTAATCAAATTATCAATACTACTTAATCAAATTATCAATATTATTCAATCAAATTATCATTGTTATTTAATCAAATTATCAATACTACTTAATCAAATTATCAATATTATTCAATCAAATTATCATTGTTATTTAATCAAATTATCAATACTACTTAATCAAATTATCAATATTATTCAATCAAATTATCATTGTTATTTAATCAGATTATCAATACTACTTAATCAAATTATCAATATTATTCAATCAAATTATCATTGTTATTTAATCAAATTATCAATACTACTTAATCAAATTATCAATATTATTCAATCAAATTATCATTGTTATTTAATCAGATTATCAATACTACTTAATCAAATTATCAATATTATTCAATCAAATTATCATTGTTATTTAATCAAATTATCAATACTACTTAATCAAATTATCAATATTATTCAATCAAATTACCAATGTTATTTAATCAGATTATCAATACTACTTAATCAAATTATCAATATTATTCAGTCAAATTATCATTGTTATTTAATCAAATTATCAATACTACTTAATCAAATTATCAATATTATTCAATCAAATTATCATTGTTATTTAATCAAATTATCAATACTACTTAATCAAATTATCAATATTATTCAATCAAATTATCATTGTTATTTAATCAAATTATCAATACTACTTAATCAAATTATCAATATTATTCAATCAAATTATCATTGTTATTTAATCAAATTATCAATACTACTTAATCAAATTATCAATATTATTCAATCAAATTATCATTGTTATTTAATCAAATTATCAATACTACTTAATCAAATTATCAATATTATTCAATCAAATTATCATTGTTATTTAATCAGATTATCAATACTACTTAATCAAATTATCAATATTATTCAATCAAATTATCATTGTTATTTAATCAAATTATCAATACTACTTAATCAAATTATCAATATTATTCAATCAAATTATCATTGTTATTTAATCAGATTATCAATACTACTTAATCAAATTATCAATATTATTCAATCAAATTATCATTGTTATTTAATCAAATTATCAATACTACTTAATCAAATTATCAATATTATTCAATCAAATTATCATTGTTATTTAATCAAATTATCAATACTACTTAATCAAATTATCAATATTATTCAATCAAATTATCATTGTTATTTAATCAAATTATCAATACTACTTAATCAAATTATCAATATTATTCAATCAAATTACCAATGTTATTTAATCAGATTATCAATACTACTTAATCAAATTATCATTTTTTTCAGCATGGCATAAAGCAATTCTTTTTTTCATACTTTTCTCGCAATTTCTTGCATTTATTTCATTGTGCACTGGTGTTTGCATACCTTGCTTTCGACCTACAGCATTTATCTTCACTCTTTCACTCTTTATAGCTGGTAAAGTTTTCTTCTCTTAGCAAATTTAAATCTTATTTTAATTAGGAAAATTATATTTCAAGTAGTTAAGATTATGATTAAGTTAATATTTATGATTAGATTATGCTTAAGTTAATTTTTTTTTTTAAATTAAGGTTATGATTAAGTTAATTAGGTTAGTAGAAAAAAAAATCTTCAAGTATAAGGTAAAGTTAAGGAAAGAATTGTTAAACAATGCATATAGTTAAGCTTAAGTTTAATAATGTATTCAAATAGTTAAGTTTAATTTTAATAATATATTTAAATAGTTAAGTTTAATTCAATGTAATTTTTTTTTTTTTGTATGCTAAGCAAACATATTTTTACATTTAAAAAATATTTTTTAATTTATAATGAATATATTCATAACATGAATTGCTTCTTCTTTTTTTTTTGAAAAATATTTATAGAAAGAAAAAAGGAGATAAAAATGAAAATTTTCAAGCACAATGTGCAATTAAAAGAAGATTTAATAAATAATACACACAATTAAGTTTAATTTAATTTAATTTAAATTAAATTAAATTGATTATCACTTATTAAATTTTATTTATTTATAGTGTTATTTTCATTAATTGCTGATGGCGTTTTCTTCCTAGCAGCAAATAGAGTTGACAATCGTTTTGTGCAAGGAATGGTTGGCAGCTATGAAGTAATTAGTCTTTTTTAAATTAATTAATTTTATCGTTTATACTTATATGAAATTATATTTTATATCAGGATGTGATATATTCTATACTTAAATTTTCAAAAATTTTTTAAGAAAAGAAATCACAACTTTTGAAGAAAAAAAAAAGTAAATTTGTTAAATTTTCATTTCCGAATATCCCATATTTGTGGCTTATTTAAAAAAAAAAAAAAAAAGGATCAAACCAATATTTTTAGATTTTAAAATTTAATCGAAACTTTTAAATTTTATTTTTTATTTTTTTTTTTTTTTTTTGATATTTTAGCAACGAATCGGTTATGCATTCTATGTGCATTTGATTGGTACACTCTGTTGGATAGTTGCATTTCTGTTTGCACTGCTTACGACGTACAAATTTTTCACGGAACGATACTCTTCGCGGTGAGAATTCTTTTGCTTTTAGCAGTAATGTCATATAAGTAAGATCACAATGACAAACATCGAGAATAATCTCGATGAAATTGCGATTATCGAGAATAATTTCAATAGTGTCGTGATTATCGCGCAAATAATTTTGATAGCATCGCAAATATCGAGAATAATTTTAATAGTATCGCGATTATAGCGAATAATTTTAATAGTATCGCGATTATAGCGAATAATTTTAATAGTATCGTTAATATCGCGAATAATTTTGATGGCACCGCAAACATCGAGAATAATTTTAATAGTATCGCGATTATAGCGAATAATTTTAATAGTATCGCGATTATAGCGAATAATTTTAATAGTATCGCGATTATAGCGAATAATTTTAATAGTATCGTTAATATCGCGAATAATTTTGATATTATCGTGAATATCGCGAATAATTTTAATAGTATCGCGATTATAGCGAATAATTTTAATAGTATCGCGATTATAGCAAATAATTTTAATAGTATCGCGATTATAGCGAATAATTTTAATAGTATCGTTAATATCGCGAATAATTTTGATATTATCGTGAATATCGCGAATAATTTCAATAGTATCGCGATTATAGCGAATAATTTTAATAGTATCGTTAATATCGCGAATAATTTTGATATTATCGTGAATATCGCGAATAATTTCAATAGTATCGCGATTATAGCGAATAATTTTAATAGTATCGCGATTATAGCAAATAATTTTAATAGTATCGCGATTATAGCGAATAATTTTAATAGTATCGTTAATATCGCGAATAATTTTGATAGCACCGCAAACATCGAGAATTATTTTAATAGTATCGCGATTATAGCGAATAATTTTAATAGTATCGCGATTATAGCGAATAATTTTAATAGTATCGCAATTATAGCGAATTATTTTAATAGTATCGCGATTATAGCGAATAATTTTAATAGTATCGCGATTATAGCGAATAATTTTAATAGTATCGTCAATATCGCGAATAATTTTGATAGCACCGCAAACATCGAGAATAATTTTAATAGTATCGCGATTATAGCGAATAATTTTAATAGTATCGCGATTATAGCGAATAATTTTAATAGTATCGTTAATATCGTGAATTATTTTGATATTATCGTGAATATCGCGAATAATTTTAATAGTATCGCGATTATAGCGAATAATTTTAATAGTATCGCGATTATAGCGAATAATTTTAATTGTATCGTTAATATCGTGAATTATTTTGATATTATCGTGAATATCGCGAATAATTTTAATAGTATCGCGATTATAGCGAATAATTTTAATAGTATCGCGATTATAGCGAATAATTTTAATTGTATCGTTAATATCGTGAATTATTTTGATATTATCGTGAATATCGCGAATAATTTTAATAGTATCGCGATTATAGCGAATAATTTCAATAGTATCGTGAATATCGCGAATAATTTTGATATTATCGCAAATATTGCGAATAATTTTGATATTATCGCAAATATCGCGAATAATTTTGATATTATTGTAAATATTGCGAATAATTTTGATGAATTCAAGTATTATGAATAATTTTTAATAAAATTAACCTAGCATCATATAAACTATTGTTTTTTTTTTCCCCACATCAAATTTTTTGCTATTTAGGATAAAAAACATAAAAACATTAGAAAATTTGAGAATTTTAAAATTGATTTCTTCAATTATTGCTACTTGTTAAAATGAAATCACTTTTATGCATCAATTTTCATAACTTTTCATCATAGCAATAACTTATATTATTACTTCTACTTTAGCTTATAATGGAAATTTGTTAGGTAAAGTACAAACATTTATTTCCACTTTATGCACCAATAAACTAATAGCAGCGATAGCAATTTATAATAAAATATTTCTTCGTAAGCATTCAAATTGCTTATTAGCTTCTCATTAAATTTAAAAAAAAAAGAAAAAAAAACTAATTTATTCATTTTGTTATATTTATTTCAAAAAAAAAAAAAAATGACAGTAAAAAATTTTTACATTTTTTGCTTTTTATTTTATTTAATAAATTGAAGGAAAAAGATGAAAAAAAACATTATTACTTAAGCAGACAATTCTTAATTTAATTTAAGCCAGTAAAATCAATAATTATATGATCAATTATTATGCTAAATGATTGATCTATGTTTGATTTAATAGTTTATTTTTAGAATTTACTTTTTTCTTTTTTCTATATTTGATTTATTGATTTTTCTTTAGAATTTTATTACTTTACAAAAAATTCCACAAAAAAAAAGTCTACTATTTGTGTGGATCTTATTTATTACTGAAAAAGTTTATTATTAGTTAAAAAAAAAAAAAAGAAATTAAAGAAAGGTTATTATTGGCCAAAAAATATTAAAAAAAAAATTGTTATTGGCCAAAAAAAAAAAACAATTATAACATTTATATAAAAAAACTTAATGAAACTTTTCATCTTCAGTACCGGCGTACATTTTCGTTCCGATGCTGATCCACCACTTCTGGAAAAATACAATGTGGTACCGTCTAGGCCATCACCGCCAATAACTTATGTCCGCGAACATACCTATCGAGTTACCAGTGCCTAAGTGATATCAGTTATGGCCATATTAATAAATATATATATAATATATTCAGTGAATATAATATATGCTATATCATTATCATTATCATATCAAATCAGTGATAATTACTGGATTAGAATAACTTTTTACTTGGGATAAGAGATAGTTATCATAATCATATCAAATCAATGATAATTATTGGATTAGTGTAATGTTTTATCGGGACACAGGACCATTATCATTATCATATCAAACCGATGATAATTACTGGATTAGTACAACTCTTTATTGGGGACAGAGAACTATTATCATTATCATATCAATTCGATGATAATTACTGGATTAGATTTATTCGTTATTTGATTAATTTTTTTCATCTTTTTATAAATAAATTTTTTTGATATTATTTCATGCTTAATTCATCTTTCTTTTTCATAAATTATCAACAATTTTTTTTTTTTGCTAATTTAATTTGTCACATTTTGATAATTTTAAATTAGCTAAATCGATCTTTAATTTCTATTTTCACACTTAGTATCATTTAATAGGTTTAATTTTTTTATTTTAAACCTGCCAATATATCATTGCTATGTTATAATGCTCATTTATGTGCATTTTTTAATTCCATTTCTTTTTTTTTTTTGCTTTCGACTGGTATATAATTTAATTTGACGGCTAAAAATATCTAAAATTACTTTTTAAATATTTAATTTTGTTTACTTACAAAATTTTTTATGCAGATGAAATATTAATTAATATCGAAAAAGTTGCAAAAAAGTGAAATAAAATTAAAATATCATAACTGTTTCAAAAAAAAAAAAGGTATAAATTTCAATTAAACCTAATTTTTTCATTATTTTTCTAAAATTTCTTTAAAAAGTTAGTTTAAGGCGCTTTTGTCTTTTGTTTCCATTTGCTATTTGCACATTCTTATTAATTCTGAATTTTTTTTTTTTTACAAAAATATTATTAATTATTTGATTATATGTTAATTGGATGCATTTGCATTCATTTTCTCTACTCGTATCGATCTCTCTTCAAATATTCTAAAGTATTTTTTGCAAGCAAATAAAAATTTGCAAAAAAAAAAATTAATAAATTAAATTAAAAATTTATTTGCTACAAAAGTTTTCATTTTCATCCGATTATTTTAATTGTATAAATGAATTATTTTTAAATTGAGATAAATTTCTTTTTTTTTTTTTTTTCTATTTTCAATATTCAAATATTAATGCTTTCATATTTTTCTTCTTTCTTCATAAATATGAATATTTCTGTTCAGAATTAATAAATTTTAATCCAACATTCCTTTTTTTTTTTTTTGCTATAAAAGAAAAATTTATTTTTTTCATGTTTAATTTCATTTTTATTTTTTAATTAAAAATTATTTTATTCATAATTGTCAATTTTTATTGTTAATTTTGATCATTAAAAATTTTGATTAATCATTTGAAAAATTGTTATTATGTTAAAATGTTTAACTATTTGCGCTTCATCAATTGTCAACAAAATGAATTTACAAAAATATTTAAAATTTCAATTATTCAAGTTATTTGTTATTGATAATTGTCAATGAAAGAAATTATAATTTCTCATTTTCATTTATGAAAAAATTTTTTTGTGGTTTAAAAAAAAAGAAAAGTTAGCATTTTGAATAGAAGCGCAAATATCGCATTCTTTTAGACTTTGTACTAATATATTACTAATATATTACCAATTATGCAAATATGTTTGAATAAATTTTGATGATAAAAAATGCTACGAATTGTTTAAAATTTAATTTTATAAATAGTTTGAAATGGAATTTTTTGAAATTTCATAAAATTTTATGCTGTGTACAGTTTGAAATAAAAATAACAATTAATTAAACCTATGAAGAAGTCAAATATAAAATACAAAATTTTAACTATGAAATTTCCAAAATTAAATAACTATGAAAATTTCCAAAAACATTGAATTTAAAATTCTTTGTCAAACATTTTGTTTTTATTTTTTTTTTAATTTCGCCAAATATTTATTGCATTATTGAACTATTGTTTGATCAAAAATTCCCCGCCGAGATTGAAAATTTTGCCCAAATATTTAAAACATAAATTCTGCATTATTTGTTAACGTTAGATTGCATAATTAACTTCTATTCTTAGCAATAATAGCAAAGGTATTGTTTAAATTTTAAATTTTAATTTTAGCAATCAAATCTTTATACTATTGCTATTTTAATTTCCTTTGATTTTTAATATTTAATTGCATAGAGAAAAAACTAAAAAAAAAATGAAATAAAATAAACAGTTCCTCAGTAATTATTTTAACTTTTTCTTCAAATAAAACTTGTAGTTTAACTTTTTTATTAAAAAAAAAAAAAACAACTTAATCTTAATCAATGATCAATTTTAAAATTAGTAAAATTTGTTTTGCAATGGAAATTTTGAATTATTTCTTCTTTTTGTTATAAAAATTTTACTCATCCCTATTTATCAAATTTTATTATTCAAATTTTTGTTTATTGATTTACAGGCATTTTTTTCTTCTTTTTTTAAAAACAAGAAATGCAAATTTGTCTTCGCTTCATTGATATTTTGATGCAAACTTTAGTTATTTAAATTAAATTTAATTAAAAGACACTTTCATTTTAAGTTAACTTTTATAAGATTAGAAATTTCGATAAAAAAAAATATGAAAATGAAATTTATAAATAATTTAATCTATGCTTTTTTCAAATTAAAAAGAAACGAATCGTTTGATATATTTTAATATTTGGTGACAATGCAAAAGTGTCAACCACTTTCACACTTATTTGCATTTCATTTATGTGACAAATTAATGATTAGAAATGATCACAATGTGACATTTATAGTTTGTAATTTTTGTTTTTGTTTACATTTTTATTGCTTTACTTTGAAATTATACCATTTATATTATGATTATTGCAATTTTATTCATTTTAATAATTTCTTTTAAATATGATGAAAATTTAATAAATGAATTAATTAATTTTAAAAGTTATTCAAATAAAATAATTAATTTACATGGATAAATTACTATTTTTATTTGTCTGAATTACTAAATAAAAGTTTGTGTAAAAAAAAAAAAAGAAAAATTTATGATAGTAAAATGAATGCTTATAAAATCATCTGAAAGCTTTAGGATAATTAATTAATTTCTGAACTGAACCCTAAATTTCTGAACTGAACCCTAGACCCTTTAGATATGATTATAATATCATCTATCATTCCTTTTCCACTGATAATTATCATTATCAGTTAATAAATCATTAATTAAACATTTTGGACAGGTAAATTGCTACTGATAACTGATAATGGAGAATTATTTGTTTAAATTAATTATTTTTATAAAATCATTCTTTAATATGCAAATATTAAATTAATTAGTTTTGTCTAAAAGTTTTTTTTTTTTTGCTAATTAAATTAATCCATTTGTTTAGTAGATTCTCTCTCTCTCTTTTTTTTTTTGAATTTTATTATTTTTTTGTAATTATAAATGAAAAAAAAAAAGCTAATAAAATTATTATTATTGCTTTCTTTGACAATGAATAAAACTGAATAAAATTAATTATTTTTTGTTAATTAGAAAAATAAAATATAATTTTTTTGGTATTATTATTATCATTTGTATTTCTATGATAGAATTTTTCTTTTTACACTTTTATTATTATTTATTTTTCTTCTTTTTTTATTTTTATTTATTTATTTTTTTTTTTTTGTACAATTTTAGAATATTTTTATTTTAAAATATAGCTTTGATGATAGCAATCGATGATAGAAATGCCATATCCCAATGGAATTTTTACAAACTCATATGCAAAAATGCAAATAAGTTGAAAATGTGACAAATTTTAGAAATCAGAATTGAAGCATACATTTTACTAAATGATGTAAACATTAGAGATGATTAGCTAATTTAGCTAGTTGGTGTCAACATTATCGGTAGAATTGAAGTGCTTTTCTGCTTTTCAAAAATGTCAAACTCTGTTGCTTTAATCATTTTCTATAATTAATAGCTGCAAATCTTCCAACAATCTTTTTTATTTATTTATTTATTTATTTATTTTTTTGAGGTAAATGATGAATGAAGAATTCTGATCAGAATTCTGATCAGAATACTGATCAGTGATCATTTCTTCTCCTCATAGTGTATCGCTAATTTCAACATCGCAAAAAATTGAAATGAAATAATAAAATAAATTTTTATAAAATTTAATCATTTAAATTGTAAATAATTATTAATAGTGTTATGAATTATTAAACTATGAATCATTTAAAGGAATTTTAGATTGCTTAAATTCATTTTTACTTTTTGTTATCTTTAATTTAACAAAAATTCGCATTTTAATCTCTTACTTTAATTTTATTACAATTTCTATGCTGTTAAGCATCTGTCATGCATGCATGCAAATGAATGTGTAATGTCCCCTGCAAGCCGATGTAATGTCCCCTGCAAGCCGATGTAATGTCCCCTGCAAGCCGATGTAATGTCTCCTGCAAGCCGATCTAATGTCCCCTGCAAGCCGATGTAATGTCTCCTGCAAGCCGATCTAATGTCTCCTGCAAGCCGATGTAATGTCTCCTGCAAGCCGATGTGATTCTATTGCAAACACTCACAATTCTTAATATTTATAAACCTAATATTAAATGCGGTTTTATTATCATCTTCTTTTTGAGAAAAAATCTCTATCATGATCTTGATCTTCTTCTTAAGGACAAATCTCTATCATGATCTTGCCCTTCATCCACTTATTCTTCCTGAGAAAAATTCTCTATCATGATCTTGATCTTCGTCTTTATTTTATGGACGAATTTCCATCATGATTTTCATCTTCTTTTTAAGAATCTTTATTATGATCCTCATCTTCACCTTAAGGAAAAATCTCTATTATGATCATTTGATCTTCATTTTCTTAAGATGGATCCCTTATTATGATCTTGATCTTGATCTTTTTCTAAGGAAGAATCTCTATTATGATCTTGATCTTTTTCTAAGGAAGAATCTCTATTATGATCTTGATT